CGTCCGACCACCTTGTTGGAGGACGTCCTCGACTACGATAAGCATCGTGTCTAGGCATTGAGAATAGCAATTTCAAAATCGGAGAAAATGATTTTTGGATTGAATTTTAGACCAATTACTTCACATTTGCGTTTCAAAACATTAAATAGTTTTATATAGGTTTGTTCCGATTTATCGGGAAGTAAACAATAACACAATGGTATATAATGTCCATTGATAAATACAGGTATGGTAAAAAATTGCTTGAAATATTGAGCACAGTAACTAAATGTACCGTCCATATAAATCGTTTTCTCTTTACTTTTGGGCAGTTTCTGTTGAGTTATTCGCCGTTCACTGTATATTTGATTTCGTATTAAATTAACATCTTTAACAGACATGTGGCTCAAGCAATCTACATTTTCTTTCAACGCACTATGTATGATTTTGGACGGCCTTTCGGTCAAATTATCCTTAGCCTTCCTTTTGGCACTGCTACGCACAATCTGTCTATTAAGCGTCTTGATTATGTTCTAGATTACTTCGGATCACTAACTTTTCTGGCCCTTTCGTGAATATTTTCGCTTTACACGACCGTTTTACGCACCTCCAATACGTTTCTCCCGATTTTAGTACTTTATCTTGAGAAAAATTTTACCACGATTAAGTACTTACTAACGTTGAAATTTCCATGTTCACTTTTCACTATTCTCTGACAAACTAATAACTAGTAACTAAGTAAATTTCAATGACCATCTAATTATATCCTAATTATATCTAATATCTGGTACTTGCGATAATCCTTCCGGCAGCGTCCAAAACAAGGGTACTTTTAAGACCCCCAGGTACTTCAGCGTCGAAAACATACCCGCCCAACTAAATAAATGGCTTGAAAGAATTAGCAATTATAAAAAATGTCTATAACCTTTATAAATATGATATTACAATAAATGTTCAAAATGACCCCCATTTTCTTCAACACACATTTGGTATCGTTTTAATAAGAAAAACCGAACGCGCTAAAAAATCATATTTTTCTGACGAAATTGATTTGCAGCTTCAATTATTCTAACCCTTAATTGTTGTTCGTCCTCTATTGTTACATAATACACTTTCTCTTTCATAAACCCCAAAAGCAAAGGTCCAGGAAGTAAGACCTGAACTTCTGGGTGGCCAAGAAATAGGTGCGTCACGACCCCTTCCAATCCAACGACCAGGATACTGCCTGTAAAGGTATTCCCCGACTTCATTACTGTAATTTGGTTGAGCGCCATCTTGTAGAAACCACATATTTTGCCTTATTGCAATATTCACTTCTTCCAAATACTTTTGTAAATCGTTTGCCAAGAACTGCAAATAATTATCATTTAAATTGTTGGGAATAAATACTGGGCCTATTATATTATTATCCACAATTCCTTTCAAGCATTAACTTTGAAAGTCCTTTGGTGATGAGGCGTTTTTTTGGCGTGAGGATTTTCGTCGACCCAAAATGTGCTCGTTATGATGGTTTGTTATTCAATTTCTACTGAAGGTAGCCTCGTCGGTAAACAAAATATTTCTAATAAAATTAACATTTCGAGTGCTTTCCATTAACAATCAATTGCAAAATCCAATTTTTTTAGGGTAATCTTCAACCATTAACTCTAGAACCGTTGTTAAGTGATAGGGTTTAAGTAGCTGATCTTTCAAACTCCTCCAAATCCTTACGTGAGGAACATTTAGTTGAGCAGCTATTACTCTTGTACTTGTTGCATGGACTTCTTCAATGATTCCTAAAATGTCTTCATCAGTTGCCTCCATTATTGGACGACCACTATTACAAGCAACTTTCGGTTGGAATGTACCCGTTTCCCGTAAATGACGATCAATGGTCATAAATAATCTCTTATCGGGTGTATTTCGATTGGGATATTTTACTGCATAACGCCTTGCGGCTGCTGCATTATTTCCTAGACATTCAGATACGATATTCCCGATAGTTTATTGAAATTATAATTTAATCTGATCCAACTTACCCAAAGTTAAATGCATATCTGCCATTTCCTGAAATGTGTAGGCCATTGTAATATCAAAATTTTTAATACATATTAATCTTATTCACACAATAAATGATAGCTTCAAATTATTGACTATTATTGATGGAACTTTGTAATTATTGTATCCGTAGAAACTAATTGTAATTTTATGGCCAACTAGGAAAAATATAGTTTTTCGAAAACGTGATAAGAGGCAAAAAGTTTTAAAAATAATGTGTTAAACTAATGATGCCACAAAATTTATTTAATTTGAACGTACTCAAAAGTTTGGAGGATTTAGGACTACACACCCCCCTTAAAATTTTTCCGTGCACTTAGATTTTGTTGTTACTTTTTTATGAAAAATGCTTTCAGAACAAGAAAGTAACGTGTCCATTTTTATTACAAAATGTCAAGTAGTTTAGGAGATAATGCAAAAAAAACAATTTTTATTTTCAAAGGGCTGTAAGTTTTTTTTGTGTATACTTTTGTACAAGATAAGTTGGATTCAATCAATTTATTTTTGTCCCCGATATGCGTGATTTAATTTATGACATACCTTTTGTAACACCCTGTATATACATGGTATATATGTTACGGTAAGAGTAGATAAATACAAATACCAGAGTCGACGGTAAATGTAGAAAATATTCTCTAAAACCCCTTTATTTCCTATTTTTACCAGTAATTGTATAAATTTCCCAGAGGATCTTGGTAAAAGTAAGAAATCCAAATTATAACGATCGACACGCAAGCGCAATGCCCTTGTTTACCCTGTGCCTAATCCATAGATTAAATATGCCTAATCAGTCTTAAGTCTGCAGTGTTGATTGAGACATCAAAAGTGTTTCTATCCTGATTTGTCATGTGCTTCGTGCTTTCTAATTAACAGTAATGTTACCTACCTATCTTTGAAGTGTTTTTTTTACCGAAATAACGTTTTGTGTTAACCTACCTACATAACTGTAGGTACATTACATTATCCTAGAACTGATTGTTTTTGATTTAACAATGGAAGAACGTTTTAATAAAAAAGTAAGTACTTGAATTGATGAATAGTGAAAAAGCACAATACAGAAGTACCAAAGTAAACGATGTAGGTAACATACGTATGAGTAAATCTAAAACTAGTGGTAAAATACCGGATGACTACAAGCGAATGAAAAAGTATTATTTCATGAAGGTTGGACAAACTGAAAAACTGATTTACCCCTTGAGTAAGATAAACAGAATGTTTTATTTTGTGTTTATTTGGAAGAACTCTTTAAATTAATTGACGGAGCACATAAATCTATTAGTCATGAAGGTAGAACAAGTATGTTGTAAGAATTACAACAGAAGTACAAGAACATAAATGTATAAATCATAACGATTTATTGGATCTATGTGAAACTTGCCAGCAAAAATCTAAAGTTCCGGTAAAAGGTTTAGTAGTGAAAACTATACTGTCAAAAGAAATAAATAGGTAGATGTCAAATATATTTGATAGATATGCAAGAACAAGCAGATAAGTAATGAATTCAAATTCATTTTCGTTCAACAAGACCACCTTACAGAATTTGTACAGTTACGACCGTTGAAAACTAAACGTGCAGAAGAAGTTGCATTATTTGTTCTTGACGTATTTTCTGCATTTGGGGCTTCTACCTTTCTTCAAAGCGACAATGAATAAGAATTATAGAAAAACTGAGCTCCACGTGGAAAAATATAAAGATGGTACATACACGGTAAGCTAAGATATAGTCAGTCGCAATGATCTGTTGAATGTGCAGTCCGTATGAAGCTGTGTTTGGAGTTCCTGCCAAAATTGGTTTGAAAACTTCATCACTGCCAGAAGATGCTCTAGAAAATATTTGGACTGAAGAAGATTTGGAAGCGTTGGTGGAACTAGTAGAAGAAAGCCAGTCAGGTTCTGATTCTGAAGAACGTGAAGAAGCAGTAGTGGATGAACCAAATGAGCTTCTAATAGAACAAGAACCATAATAGCCTGAGTAACTATCAGTAAATAATTTTAATGCGATTTTAGAAGAACTTCCAATCAAATTTCAAAGAGGCAAGATTCTGTTACAATTAAACTGACACGTGCAAAGGAATGTCTTGAAAAGTAAGCGAATAAAATCCTCTATTTATAATATTACTGTAAACTGTGCCTAGAGTTTCCATGCGTCCAAATAGAGGTTCTAATTTAGTTTTCCAATGATTACTTTTGGAGTTGGTTTGTTAAGGATAATAGATTAATTTATCACTGGAATAACACTCGAATATAAAGTATTTTATGGCTTTTGTATTAAAATTATTTCTGTAGTTTTTACTTGTGCGATTAAGCTTTTTTAATATATTAACAATAGTTTTACCATTCATTTATTGCCCCCTTCAATTTTGATGATGTGAAATATTTTTTTATGCTATATTCAATGGTAGCGTAGTAGTCCTATAGTTTGATCCAGTAAATTGTAACTTAACGTACTGTAGGATGAACACAACTGCGGATTTGGTCAACATCGTGAAGAGCCGTAAGCTGCAGTAATTGGGACATATAATGAGAAATTAAGGCAGGTACGAGCTACTTCAATGGATTTTACAAGGAAAAATTGAAGGAAAAAGGGCCCCAGGACGAAGAAGAATATCCTGGCTTGCTAACCTGAGAGCATGGTATCGAAAGACCTCAACACAGCTATTTCGTATAGCAACCAACAAAGTCATCATAGCCAGAATGATCGCCAACGTTCGAAACGGACAGGCACCCTAAGAAGAAGAACGTAATGTAAGGTGTTACCAAAGACGTGCTAGTAAAATTCTTCCTTTTTCTTGTTACTGGGTCTCATCTTTTCTGAAAGAGATGTGATAGTCATGTGAACACGTCCATGTGATTATCTTAAAATATGATCATGAGATGTCTATTAACTCGTCTATTGTAGCATTATTATTAATAAATCATTAGTAATTCCTAATTTTATTTGTACCATCTACTTTTTGGTTAATTTTGGATTTTCATATTTTTAGCTTCTGGCGAATACGTTCCAAAATATGTATATCTAATTGACGAAGATGGTTCACCCTCCCTACCAATCCATGTTCGTAATAGGCGAGATGTAGAACAAGTACTTTCGAGAATCAGAAGAGGTGGTGCTTATTCTTACTCGGGAAGTAGCAGCTTACCAGACTTTAGCGGAGGTAAAATATGAAAATTTAATATTTTTATTTTGACATTTCTGGAATGTAATAGAAAGAGCAACACCTCTTATGATTCTTTTACTACTGTTTTTAGATGTTATTATGAGATAGATATAGATATAAGAGATACCGATTTTCATATCGCAACTCTCCCTATTTTCTTCCTGCGTTATAAGATGGATATATATATATATATATATATATATATATATATATATATATATATACATCGGTTTAGAACGTCGATACCTAAACACCATCTCTTCCTATCTTCGCAGTCGTTTATTGTTAAATTTCTTTCGCTCATGGACTTGTTTACGCCATGTTGCCATTCTAATCTGGGTCTTCCTCTTTTCCGTCGACCTATCGGTTGCCATTCTACTACTTTTTTGGGGAGTCTTGTTGCTGGCATCCGTTGAACATGCCCATACCACCTTAATTGTTTCTTCTCTATATCTTGAGTTATATTTCCTTCTATTCCCATACGTTGTTTTATTACATCATTTCTGATTCGGTCTCGTCTGGAAATACCTAAAGATCTTCTCATTGCATCCATCTCTACTGTTTCTATTCGCTTTTTATTTTTTTCACTAATTCTCCGCCGGTCAGATAGCTCAGCGGGCTGTGCGGCTGCCTCTCATTCGCTTCACTGTCGAATGGTTTAGTGGATGTGGGTCGAGCCCCAGCTCGGTGTACAGAAAACAAAAAGTCTAACGCAGCAGTTTAAAATTCTAGATGAATCTGCGGCTTAGACTAGGATATGCTGGGTTCTGATCGGCCTATGGTGGAGCAGTACGGCAAGAGATAAGGGCTTGCGGCTCGGTGATACTCCTCCATAGATCCCTACCGGACGGGCGTAACGCCTAAAAAAACCGGATATATATATATATATATATATATATATATATATATATATAATATATATATATATATATTATATATATATATATATATATATATATATATATATACTAATTCTCCATGTTTCAGCGCCATAAAGAAGAGTAGTTTTAATCATGGTCTCATATATATTAAATTTTCTTCTTTTCGTTATCTCTTTACTCCACAGTATACCATTGAGACATTCTAAGACTTTTTTTGCTTGAGTGATTCGTTTTTCTATTTCCCGTGTATCAGTTCTTGTATTGTCAAAGGCAACACCCAAGTAGTCATAGCTCTGACAGCAGGAAATATGTTGTCCGTTTTCGAGGTCTATGTTATCTGACTCGTATCCAATACAAAGATATTTGGTTTTTGTTGTATTGACATTCATTCCCCAGTCGTTATATTTTTCTATCAGTTTTCTAAGCATGTACTGCATGTCTTCCCTGTCGGTCGCTAGTATTACCTGGTCATCAGCAAACTGGAGTGTATCATTCATTGCTAAGTTCTATACCCATCCTATGCACCTTTCTTTTCCATCTTTCCAATGCTGCTGCAACATATATCTTGAATAAGGTTGGTGAGATACAGCATTCCTGTCGCAAGCCTTTTGTAACCAGGAATTCTTCCGTTAGATATTTTCCTGTTTTTATCTGTGCCTTTGAGTCTCTATATAGTTCTTGTACAGCATTTATGAATGTGTGGTTGATGTTAGATCTTTGCAACGTTGTCCACAGTTTTGTTAAGGGGATGTTGTCATATGCTTTTTGCAGGTCTACGAAAGTAATATGAGTTTCTAGATTCTTAGCTGATCTTTTTTCTATTATTTGTTTAAGACAAAATACGTTATCGGTGCACGATCTTCCTGCACGGAACCCGCTTTGTTCTTCCTCTTCATTGTGCTTATATTCTTCCTCGATCATATTTCTCAAAATTCGTCCATGCAGTCTGCTCAGGGTGCTGGTTACCGATATGCCTCTATAAATATTACAATTCCTTTTGTCCCTCTTTTTGTGTATTGAGGACATGTATGCCGTTCTCCACTGTTCTGGTACTGGGTGTCCATTTAGACACTGATTGATCACATAAGTTAAGTTTTCAAATAGTTTATGAGTTCCATTCTTAATCATTTCAGCATAGATTCCCTCAGGTCCAGCGGATTTACCATTCTTTAGGGTCATTACAGCTTTCCTTACTGTTTCGATGTCTACCCTCGCTTCCTCTCCTTGTATATGTACTGACTGTGTTGGGGAGTTCGCTACGATGGATACTCTTTCATAATCCCAATGAAGAACTTACCCAGAAGCACAATTTTTAAAATACGCCTTGATTTTCTCCCAACTCATCTACTAGACTTCCCAAACCAAACCAATGCTTAGTATTTCAGTTTAAAAACTGCTCATGTAAGCACATTCGCAATGACCCTCTTTCTGCAACTCATTGGCAACCATAGGTTACGAAGAAATATTGCAACCAGAAATTACAATATCAATCATTGATATTAGTTATGATTAAGTATATCTACAAAGGCCGTTTGAAGCCTTCCGACAAAGGTCGGAAGCGAAGATATATATAAAAACATAACAGGGAGTGAAAGTAAACATTGTAAATTGTAAATTTGTCATGACACGAGTTTTGTCCAACAACACAAGAATTCTGGCAAGCGGAAAGCTCTTCTCTCTAAGACCTGCATATCGATTCAGAATTCCCCGATGTTGACAAAATTCACGAATTAGCCATTGCAATTAATTATTAAATTAATGGAAAACGAAAAGCAAAGTTGTACGATTCATGCTAGTGGGATTTATATTGAATTATTGTTATTACATTAATTGCAATTGCTAATTCGTGAGTTTTTACAATATCAGCGAATTCTGAATCGGTATGCAGGTCTTAGAGAAAAGAGCTTTCCGCTTGCCAGATTTCTTCTGTTGGACAAAACTCGTGTCATGATAAATTTTATATCGGCTTTTGTTTTTCCAGCCACCTGGTTTAGGTTTAAGAAAATCCACATGGTTTTGGATTTAAGAAAGTGCACATGGTTTTGGATTTAAGAAAATGCACATGGTTTTGGATTTAAGAAAATGCACATGGTTTTATTTAAGAAAATAGAGGGATGGTTTTGATGCAGATAATTTATTGATCAAGTTGACAGGAGAGCAACAGCAGGATCTCTGATGGAAGTTAAGCTAAGTTTCTTTCTTTCTCTGAATTTGTGTATAGATGCTTAATTCTTTGTTATAAAAACCTTAATTTTTAATTATTATTGAATTCTAATTTGTTATTTTATTAATTTATCAATTAATAAAGAGATGTGTTGAAAACCTATTTTATTAATAATCTCTGATTTCTCCAAAATTAATTAGTTTATGCCGAACAACACCCCTGAGGGGTTTTAATGTGTTTTCAACACATCTCTTTATTAATAATAAATTAGAATTTAATAATAATTAAAAATTGAGATTTTGATAACAGAGAATTAAGCATCTTTACACAAATTCAAAGAAAGAAAGAAACTTAGCTTAACTTCCATAAGAGATCCTGCTGTTGCTCTCTTCTCAACTCGATCCATAAATTATCTGCATCAAAACCATGCCTCTATTTTCTTAAACCAAAACCATGTTTCTGATCACGAAGATTTATTTTTATTGAGTACCTTGTTGGTTGTTGGTTTATTTTAAAAAGCGAAATCGAATCGGATTCATACCAGTAAATTATTTAGTAGTGGGGTTTCTGTTTCTTGTATGACAAAGTAAGCGCAGGTACAACTACGAGGGGACTTAAGAAATTAATCGGTGAATTTATTTGTAGTAAGAAAATATTGAACTGAAATATAGGAAAATATTGAACTAAAAACAAAGGAAAAAGAAGTTATTATCAACGAGAATCACATAGTACGAGCAGAAAATAATGGAAAGTACTTTGAAATTAATAAGAACAAAAATGTAACGTTTTAATCGTTACAGGATATACAAGAAACCTACGCCAAACAAGATAGTACTACTGTGAGTAACATACAACAAAAGTTCTTGAAAATGACAAACACTTTAAAGGAAGCTACGTCGAAGAACATACCAAGAACAAAAAGATTTAGAAAAAACCACTGGTTCAATGACGAATGCAGAACAGAGTTAAAAAGAGATTAGATTTGAGATAGAGAAGTTTACGATCGCAAAAACAAGACGACCTAGTAAGGTATGCCGAACAACGAAAAAAAGTAAAGAGAATCCTAAGGGAGCGGAAACGAAAGTATATGGATGATAAAATTAAGAGCTTTGGAGAAAATTACAAGAAAAATGAAATAAAAATTTTTTATATAGAAGTAAAATATATTTAAACTGGGTATCAGGGAAGAACGATGAATGTAAAAGATAAGCAAGGAAACCGGATAGTGGACGAAGACCAAATATGTGAAAGGTGGAAAGAATATTTCGAAGAGATGTTAAATGACGAAGTGACTACTGAAGAAAATTGTTATGTTCCTAACCTCAAATAGTACTAGAAGAAATACCAAAGCCCACAAGAGAAGAAATTGAAGAAATAATAAAAGATATAAAAAATCAAAAAATCCCCGGGGAGAGCGGCATTGTGGCAGAGAACATAAAATATGGAGGAGAGGCTTTAATAAACAAACTTGTTGAGCTAATACTAGAAGTATGGGATGCCGAAGCGCAGAAATACCTCAAGAATGGAATATTTCGATTATAATTCCTATACACAAAAAGGGAGATAGAACTGAATGCACAAACTATGGAGGAATATCCTTATTAGAGAAAATTTATAAAGTACTCGCCTTACTAATTAAAAAACGATTAGAAATATATATAAAGAAGAATCTAGGAGAATACCAGCGAGGATTTCGGAAAGGAAGATCAACAATCGATCAAATTTTTATGCTAAAACAACAATATTTCAGCACAAGTACTTTTCATTGTTTATAAAGCTGCCTACAATACAATAGACAGAAACAAGTTAGTAGAAACACTAAAAGAATTCCAAGTGCTAGAAGCAATAATAAGATTGGTAAAAATGACAATTAGACAAACCATTTGTGCTGTGAGATGCAACGTTACAGTCTCAGAAGAATTCTAAGTGAAAAAAGGTGTTCGCCAAGGAGACCCGTTGTCTACATTGGTATTCAATATAGTTCTAGAAAAAATTATAAGGGTTAGTGGGATAAATAGGTCCGGAACTATTTTATACAAGGATCACCAATGCTTAGCAAACGCTGATGATGTGGTTCTCATTGCAAAAAATGGAAAAGAACTATCAAATATAACAAAAGGCTGATTCGGGAAAGCTCTAAAATGGGACTGAAAGTTAATATTAATAAATCAAAGTACATGGAGATCTTGAACAAAAAAGGAATAAACACCAGGGGATCCTTTAAATTGAGAAGGTGGATGAATATATGTACTTAGGTACTCTTATTGATCAGACATGTAAGGAAGAAACTGAAATCAACCTGAGACTGACCAAAAGCAACAGGTGTGCTGGAGCCATGAGCAAAAGAATTAAGGCCAAAGATATATCTCGTAATACAAAAATAAGAGTATTCAAAACTATAATTAGACCCACAATGCTACACGCTGCCAAGACATCGACTATAAACAAAACCATACAGAACACAATGGAAGCATGGGAAAGAAAGATACTTCGCAGAATATTTGGTGGAAAAGTAGTAGAGGGAGAATGGAGAAGACGACCTAATGCAGAAATGTATCATTTGTATGCTAACCCTACAATAACAAAAGTGGTGAAAAAACGTAGACTAGAATGGCTCGGTCATCTAGAAAGAATGCAAGGTAATATACTAGTCAAGAATATTGCTTGGAGACTACCCGAGGGCAAAAAAAGAGAGGAAGGCTAAGAAAGAAATGGAGATGTAGTGATGGAAGATGTCAGAGAGATGGGAATCAGAGATTGGAAGCTGTTAGCTAAGAATAGAAAACGGTGGACATGCTAACGCTGTACATACAAAGGCCGTTTATATACGTCTAAGACCTAAATAAAAAGTAGAATCTGAAAATAATTCAGGTACACGTTCTCAATAACACTTATAAAAACGAAACAGCTGAAAGCTTACAGGAAGATATACAAAAATATTGAGAGATTCAATACCTTTCAAACGATATATCTGTGGCTTGGGGCTAAAAGGGCCAATGTGAAAATCTTTACGTTTGAGAGAACTGCAGTTAAAGTTTTTTGCCAAAAATACTTTTAGTTATAGTTTTAATGTAACGCAGGCTTTACGTAGCAGATTTGGCCTAGAGGATAATGTATTGTGGCCACTTTGTAGTCAAATATTTCTTTCTGTGCAATAATTATTTACATAAAGGCGGTACATTTCAGTTATAGATAGATCGAACGACATGTACTTTTTTAGAGACTGCGGTAAGCAGTAAAAGTATATTTATGTGCTCTCTTATCAGGAGTTTATCATTTTCTGGAAGTTTAGGATGTTTTCTTCATCTATCTAATTTCAAATATATTCAGAAATTTGCTTTAAAATACTTTCTAAGGTAGGTTCGCCAAATAAAGCCCGGTTCCTAATAAAGCCCACTCGCCCATATTCCTCAGGATGGACAAATAATGGCAGTATGCTGCAATGTACAGATGCAGTAGAGCCATCTATTTGCAAATTGTTACACTAAGTTGAGCAGCGACGCGAACTGTCGCTTTTATATGATCATTCGTTTACAGTGGTCAATGGGTAAACATCCAATCTAATATTGAGGTTAGTATGCTTTTGTAATTTAATACGATTATGAGTGCGATTTTTTTTATTTTGCATGGCATTTGTGTACTTATTAGTTGTACTTTCATAGTATCTGAATTACCTTATGTTTATTAAAACGTAAATAATGGTAATTTCTAAAAACATTGATCACCTACAGTATTGCTAATAAGGCCCGGGTGGGCCTTATTAAGACTACGGGTGGGCCTTGTTAAGACAACTACAATAAGACGTTTTATAAGTTTTTAACTTTGTTTCAGAAAGAATACTAAAAAGCTTAAGATGCCTAGAGCTTTATGGACTGAAGAACAAATGGCTTTGTCCTTGCAAGCAGTTAAAAATGGGATGTCAGTAAGAACAGCCGCCAAAGAATTTAATATTGCCCGTCCAACACTTAGGAATCATTTGCTTAGTGGAAAAGCGGAAAAGAAACTTGGGCGCCCTTCATGTTTAACCCCCCAACAAGAATCTGAGTTGTGTGGAAGAATTTTTAGGCTAGCTGACGTTGGAATGCCTCTGACATCAACAGTGATAAGACGTTCTGTCCATGAATATTGCCAAAGAAATGGCATATCTGCACCTTTTATCGATAAAAACTTAGCAGGTCGAAAATGGCTCAAACTTTTTTTAAATCGACATCCCGAAGTAGTTAAAAGAAAATCTCAATTCATGAATCCAGCTAGAGCCGCCAAATTAAACAGATTCATAGTCAATGACTATTTTGAAAAGCTACGCGAAGTTATGTTGAAGCTTGATATCCTGCAAAGCCCTCAACGCATTTTTAATATTGACGAGAAAGGTTGCCGCCTAAACCTTCATAAATCACAACAGGTATATGCTCGTAAAGGTGTCAAATGAGTTCATTTGATTTGGCAAGAGCACGCTGAGAATGTGTCAATCGTTGGTTGTGAAAATGCTGTAGGACAAATAATTCCACCTATGATCTTGTTCAAAGGAAAAAGAAAGAAGAATGAATGGTATGACAATCTTCCTGCTGGAACAGTTATTGAAATGACCGAGAAAGGAAATATGACTACGCCAGTTTTCATTAAGTGGGTACAACATTTTGCTAAGTACAAGCCAATAGGAAGAATACTGCTTATTTTTGACGGAGCATCGTCTCATCTGGATGCAGGTATTGTTGATGAAGCCGAGTTGCATGAAATTACGCTTTTTTGCCTGCCAAGTAATTGCACACATTAACTGCAACCTATGGACAAGGCGGTATTTAAAGCCTTCGAATCTTACTGGGACGACGAAGTTATCACCTACTGGACACATAAACCAGATCGAACGATCAATAAATTTTCGTTTGGCACAATTTTCTCAAAAGTATGGCCAAAAGCAACTACAGCATCAAATGTTATTTTAGCTTTTTGCCCATCAGAAATAACAGAAAATAAATTAGACTCGGAAGATTCTGCTATTCCATCAGCTTTGACTTCCGCAACGAATAATCCTATTGGCAGCTCCACTCCAGACAGAAAAAAGAAAATAAAAGCTCTAAAGGAGAAAAATACGCAAGATAGCTTTGAGAGTTCTGACGGTTCTGACAATGAATTTTCAGTACATGACAGCTCAGAATAAGAAAACAAAATGTCAGTAAGTTTTAACGCAGTGTTAATAACACCAGAATTGGAAACTCGAAAACGCAAAGGTGCTAGAAAGAAATCCCTGAACTATCGAGCACAGGAAGTCACAAAATCATTGTTTGATGAAGCTGGTTTAAATGACCCTAAAAACCAATCAAGAAAAGGAAAAAACTTGGCAAACGGAAAAATAGTCCAAAAACAACTAAAAAAAGGAGAAGAGAAAAATAAACACAGCTCACTTGAAACCTCAAAAAACAAAGAAGAACGAAAAGATAGTTGGTATTGTTTCGTCTGCAATGAGGATGTCGTTAAGGATATGAGACTTTGTGACAGCTGCAAAAGATATATCCATGAAGAGTGTGTAGGACTTTCAGCAGATGATAAAGACTTAGTTTTCATATGTCCAGACTGTTTGCAATAATTATTTTAAGTACCTATTATATTATTTTTTACAAAATAAATGTCCTACATGTCACCTTTGTTTAATTTGATTAATGTATAGTTGCACCAATAGACCTTAAGCTTAAGACGTACGTGGAATGTCAATGCGACATAAGCTGAACTGGGCTAAACTGGAGCTGAAGATCTGTTGGTGCAATTAGGCATAATGGTCACATTTAAAAAGTGGGCCTTATTAAGAACATGGTGTTCCTAATTAGGCCCAGAAGCAACTATTTTTTAAAGACTAAAAAGTAACAACTCATAAAACTTTTAACAAAATTTAACAATCTCATATTAAATTTAAATATGTGATTTATTTTCTCTGTGGTTTTCAGATTTATATCGTGATTTTATTTATCAAAAAACAACTAACAAACATTAAGTGGGCCTTATTTGGTCAACTTACCTTAGTAAAATTTCGTCTACTTTGATTGCTTTCATCATATCTTAATCGTTGGACCTGCTTTTCCTTTTCTTCTATGGAATTTGCTACCAACTGGTTTTGTCCAGAGCTAGAAACTGACAAAACTCTGTGAAAAGAGTTTATCGGGCCTATTGAGTAAATTTTTAAAAGCACTTCCGACACGTTTCACCTTTAGTGGAACTGTTTTATTTCTCGAAACCGATTTATATTATGTACCTTCCGATTTTAGTGATTTTTTCACGTTCTGTGTCCAATTAGGAGGATTGAGCTTTCGTTTCCTTGTAGCTTCACCTTTGTCTAGTTCTGCGTAATAAATTGATTTTTAGCAGGACCGTTTAGTTGCGGATTATCTCAGTTATATTGTCAATACATTTACACTAATATACTTCGTAGTCGTCATCTGTCGGTAAATATTCATTATCACTATCTTGAAACGGTTTTAGGATCACATTACACTCATTACAGACATGTCATAAAATATAACATGAAAACCGGCAACACAATTTTTCAATTTCATAATTTTCAATCATTTACCATTACTTTAACGGCCAGTGTTCCGTGTTACACATTTCTATTACAATTCTTTCTTGTCCTTGGATTAATATCAATTCTACTAATTCCAATACTTCGTATCTAATACTTTAAAACTGGAATTGTAACGTATAGCTGATAAACGTACAGCCCACTGATTATTCCACTAAATATCAGTAATCAATAGAAAGGCATTTTGCCTTAAAGATAAGAAAAGAACACCAATTAGATCGTAAAGATGGTATAACAGATTAAATGGTACTATATTCCTGTCGGAATAACAACAAGAAGTATATATTTTCGCGGCCAGTATTTTGTAATGGTACATCGTTTAATTTCAGGATTCGCCGGTCCTCCTCCAGAGTTAGCACAACTTCACTCAGATATTGCAAAAATGACATCAAACATCGAACATGAGGTTTTATCTCATGTCCAGAATATCGCTGCTTCTCACCCCACAGGTGCAGGTGCAAGCTCTGGATCTTATTCCTATTCAGGATCTTCGGGTAATTCTGGAGGATATGGAGGCGCATCAGGTGGACATGGAGGTTCAGGACCTTCTGGAGGATATAGATCTGCGCCATCTGGAGGCTACGGTTCAGGCGGTAGTTCTGGGTAAGAATTATATATTATAAGTATGAAAATATCCTACATATACCAACGTAATTGTTTCAGACCCAGTTTATTCAGCAGAAGTGGTGTTGAGAAAGGATCTGGAATAAAGGTGTCGTCGGCTGCACAGGGACCAAATGCAGCATTTAGTTATTCTTCGTCAGCTTCAGATGGTCAAGGAAATGTAAAATATAATGTTAAATCTGGTCAATATTAATAATAATTTATACAATAATAAAGGTAATAATACACACAAATGAATGTGCTTAATTTCTTCATAACAATTACACACATTTAATATCCTATTTTCATATCACTTATTCTCTAAAGAAAAATTAAATTTCTTCTGAAGTTGTTGGCTAATATGTTTATACGGATTTTCTAATTCAATATCAGTCTTCGGTATCCTACAAATTCTTTTTACTTTAGGTGACAGCAGTATTACATTTTGAATTAGTCCATATGCACTTGAAGTGGTCCAGTACAACACAAGGCACTATAAAAAAATAAAATGAGGGTTACTGGCAGCATTAATATTTTTTTATGATTGATTCATGTTAAATATTAATATAACTAAATAAGAAAGAGATTTATACTCCTACAGTAAACATTGGATATAATAAATAATAAATATTTTGAAACTTTATTAAAATTAAATTAAAGGGTCAATGTTAAAATAGAAGAAAAAAGTAACCACAACGTAAACGAGTCCTAATATAATCTGGAGAAATGTAGTCCTATCCAAATACTTGAAAAATCTCAGGAAAGTCATTTGAGAACAGAATAGTGACCTGTGTTGGTGAAATAAAGTTAAAGAAAAAATAAAAGAGAAAAGTCTTAAAAAGTATCAATAAAATAGATCTGAGATAGTTCTTCAGAATCATACGGTCATCAAAATGGAAGAGAAAGTGGGAAAAATATATAAGATGAACCTGATAGCGAAAGGGGTGAAAGGAAAATATATAGAATAGGGAAATACTGAGTAAAAAAACCAAAAGATTTTAATCAGATTAAATATATCCAAAACGGAAATAATAAAATACTAGTGCATAAAAACGGTGTCAAACAAAGTGCAAAGCGAAGGAAAAATACTTTGGAAGTTTATTAAACGCAGAATTTATGGCGGACGTAGCTCAGAGGCTATCGTACTGATTTACCAAACTGAAGGGCCGGGTTCGATCGCCTTCACAGCACCAGATATTTTTCAATTTCTTATTTAACTCAGCCGTGTGTTGGAGGCAGGTAAAGTCATCGGTCACAGAACATTTGTGTCTAATTTATGCTGATGATATCGTGTTAATAGGAAATACTAGAGACAATTAGATCAAAAACTGGAAGCTTGGAAGCAAGCGCTTTTAGAACAATGTTTAAAGCTTAATAAGACTAATATTATATAGACAAAAAGACAAATGGAGTTACAACTGCAAATAAGATAGTGAAATGATTGTGAAAAGTAATAATTTTAAGTATCTTGTAGTTGTAGTAGAGTTACAGCAGGATTGATAAATTAAAATAAAACGACTGGTGTGATGTGTGACAAAAAAATTCAAATGAAATTTTAATTTTCGAATTTTATAAAACTGATATCTTCTTTTTCGAGTGACTTCTTCAATCGAAGATCAGCAACAATTTTGTCAAATTTTTCTCTGTCTTGGATATTCCTCAGTAATCGTTTGAGCTCAAACCTGTCCAACCTCGTATGTTGTTCAGCGCTTTTCGAATTTTTGTTCGTATGATTTTGCGGATCTGCTGATATTTCTCTGAAATTGTCTTAGCATATTCCAATTCGTACATTGGAGATTCTGAAACTATATTCTTGTCGCAAATTTTATGTTATCTACTCTATTTAATGTGAATTAAACACAATTTTACTTGAAAATACCTTAATTTTGACGTTTTGATTTCCACTTTGGGAATCGAAATGCCCAATTTGTAAATTCAAAGCGTTAGGAAGATAGAGCACATTACGTCAGTCATCATGATGAGCTACTAATAAATACAATATTCTGTTTCTTATCCATATTAAATTTATTGTTGATTTGCAGAAACCTTTGATTGCAGTAGGCAAATCATTTATCGAGGTAAGATCTAATCAAATAAAGTCCTTTGTGTTCTAATTTATCTTTTTCTTCTTCATTCCAGGGTTTAGGTATTTGTTAAATCGCAAATGTTCACTTTTCGAACCAAAGTGAACTCTGGATATTAAAGAGTTTGTATTTACAAATGATAGCAATTTATCTTTTTAAAAATAGGCAAGTTGAGAAAACTAGGTCATCTTATTTAATCTGTGACCAAAATATCTACCGATCCTATGGCTCTACAGCCCAATTCAAGTCCTGGCGCCCCTTATCAAACCTCTCCATCCGTTACGGTCTGTAGCCATTTTCCTCCAAGATCGACTGACAAGGGGATTTCTGGCGTCCTCATCCACATCATCCTCCCAGCGCTGTCTCGGTCTTCCAGTGGGTCTCTTCCCCTGCTTTTTTGCATTCAACTCATAAAGTTTATATACATCATTGGATTATATTTAACTATTATTCTTGTAAATTAATTTTGAAGCATTTCCTACTTGTTTTTCCTGTATGATTTGTGCAACTATATAAAATAGACCAACAATAATCTTTTAACATAGTTTTTTTTTACCGTAGAGCGATATTTTTCAAAATTCAGCCATATCCTGATGGAAAAAGGACTAAGTGAGACTGCATCACATGAGTTCTTAGACATATTAACTTTAATTCCTTTAATTTTCCCAGCACTGAATAATTTTTTGATTTTTTGTTTCCTAAGAGATTTGTTATTGCGTATTTCTGACCTGATCTCCTGATGAGATAGATTTTAAAATATAGGGGAGATCCTTGTACTTTAAGATCGATTGTACTTTGAAACGTTCAGACTTTTACAGCATACTAGCGGTTCAGGTGCATTAACTAGTTATATAACGTTCCTATGCGCTCACAGAGGGCAGAACACGTAATATGAAGCAGATTGGTCTAAAAACTCGACAGTTAAATTTATTTGTTTGATGCGTGACCATTGTTGTATTTTCGTATCCTCTGCCATCGAATAAAATAACTGTAAGTATATTAATATTCTTATATTTTGTCTATGTTTACACAAATAAATATAGAAGTTTTAAGCAATATATTTTTTTAGTTTTTGCAGAGAATTGTGTTTATTTTGAGTAGTAAAAAGCATATATTTTAAACATGTAATTATCGTGTATTTTGAAACGTCGTCTGAATTGTACTTTGGGCCATGATCCAAAATACAATGACGTGGTCCAAAGTACAAGTTGTATGGACTGTAGACGGTTATAAAAATTGAAACGCTTATTTTTTGGTTTACAGATGCCGAGAAGCAAAACAGACGTTAAAAGAATAAAACCTGTAGCCGAAAACGTCGAAAATGCTGCTAATGCTGAATTGCAAAAACAGCTCAGTCTAAGACAAGCCAGCGCAGACTTTAAAGTATCTAAAGCAACCTTATGCAGACATTTCAAGAAACACAGAGAATCTAAACAGGAACATTGTGTATATCATCACAAGACGTTAAATTAGTCTTTACGAAACAGCAAGAGGAAGAGCTACTAAAGTGTGTTACCATTTGTGCTAAGATGCATTACGGCCTCTCAACTATCGAATTAAGAAAGTTAGCATATAATTACGCACGTATAAATAATATTGATTGTCCCTCTTCCTAGATACAAACCAAAAGGCAAGAAAGGAGTGGTACAGGTAAAAAAAGTTTTGCATTTTTTAGGTCATAAGGGTAAATAATTTTTTTACAGGTTCTATCTGCGATAACATCCGTCTGTATCATTACGTAAACCACAAGCAACAAGTCTAGCAGATCGACAGCATTTAATAAAACAAATGTTAATTTATTTTTTGATAAACTGAAGGATTTATGGTAAGATACACATTTAGTCCAGTTAGAATTTATAATTTAGACGAAACCGGACTAACCACGGTGCATACCCCGGTTCGTGTTATTGCAACGAAAAGAGTTAGACAAGTCGGCAGCATCACAATCGGCTAAAAGAGGTGTAAATGGACTCTAATTTGTTGTATCAATGCTATTGGTAATTGTGTACCTCCTTTATTCGTATTTCCGCGTGTGTTTTTTAAGGAACACATGCTGAAAGGGTCTCCAATAGGTAGTGTTGGGAGCGCGAATCCTAGTGGATGGTCTAACTCTACGATTTTTGTTGAGTATTTAAACCACTATATAAAAAATACAAATTCAAGTACTGACAACAAATCACTACTGATTGTCGACAATCATGAGAGCCACATTTCAGTGGAAGCTTTAAATTTAGCAAAATCATCGGGAGTCGTCATGCTTACCTTTCCACCCCACACCAGCCATAAGCTACAACCGTTTAGATAGGTCGGTTTTCGGGCCTCTAAACAAATATTATAATACAGCTTGTTCCGACTGGCTAATTGCAAATTCTGCAAAACAATGACAATCTATGATATTGCTGAGTGTGTTGGGAATGCATATCCACAGGCATTTACACAGAAAAATATCCAGTCTGGTTTTACCGTTTCTGGAATTTTTCCATTCAACAGAAACATTTTCTAAGAGCACGAATTTCTCAGTTCATATGTTACGGATAGACCAACAGTTGCCGAAGAGTCAAGAAATAATCAAAATACCTCCGAAACTAATAGTTCCTCGAATATTTCTGTAGAGGGTCTAGGAATGCTTTCAGGAACAACTAGTACGTTTAATGATCCTAGTTCTTCCTTAGTATCTAATGAATTAAATAAACATAAAAGCCCCGAACAAATTCGCCCGTTTCCCAAAGCAGCTGCGAGGAAATTTACGAAGAAAGGAGGTAAGAAACTAGGGCGCTGTAGAATAGTTACAGATACCCCAAAGGGCGAGATTGAAATGATGGAGCTCCTTAAAACCACGAAGAATTTTGTTTCAAAAAAACAAAAAGCAACCAAAAAGGTTCTTGAAAGTATTTCTGATGAAGATGTAATAAAAGAAAGCGAAATAATGTGCGACGACTCACTAGATGACGTGGATTTTGCCAATGCAGAAGAGGAAGATAAAGATTTCTTTGAGTCTGGCAACAAGCCCTGCGTGGGAGATTTTATTTTAGCCCAAATTGCAATAAAAAAGACAAAACGATATTTTGTTGCTAATGTCGTTGGAGTGAATGATGATGGGTTTAAAGTTAGATAATTAAAAAGAAATAACTTTGCCGCCAAATTTTCTTTCGAAAATTACACTGTCTATGACTTGCCTGACGAATATATGGTGATAAAAATAGGAGCCCCTTCAGTAGTGGGGGGCACTGCCAGAAGAAATGCTGAGATGACATTTTCTATCGATTTATCTGCATTTAACGTCCAATAAATAAGCGTTTCAAAGTAAACATACTTATGTTCCGAAGTACCAACCTCGGTGTGTACTTTGAGACCTTTAGGATATGGTGAATTTTTCTGTATTCATAAGTATATTTGCCATTAGAATTAATATTTTATTTTTTTTATTTGTTTACTTAAAGATACTCTATTTAAAAAAAATCTCAGTTCGAAATAAAATTTAAAAACTACTGAAACCTGCTTTTATTTAAAAACTGATCCGTACAAGGATCTCCCCTACGTTTGAAAGTTTCTCTTCAAAGTTAACACCTACCATAAGTTTTCTAATATCAGGACCAACGAGCATATCCTCTTTTAATTTGGTGTCACTAAAAGGTGGAAATTTTGTTTTAAATATAAGTGTGTTTCAAATGATTGTTTAATCAATTCGTTAATAAAACTTTTAACCAAACTCAACTTGATATACATCCTTCTCGAACTTCTTTATCGACTTTAAACGGTACTGAGGAGTTTTGTCTGACTCTTATTCTACATTCATCGTCTTCGTAAAATTATTTTACTGCATTTATGTATGAGTTATCTACTCCGTGATTTTCCATTGCTTTGCACAGGTTGTTAACTGGGACACTATCATAAGCCTTTCAAATTTATATAAATACAATGTGCAATTCAGCGATGAATGCTATTTTTTTTTCTATGAGCTGTTTTATAGAAAATATATTTTCTATCATCCTTTCTTTAATGATTTTCCCATTACCAGCAGAACGTGTGACGCATATTCCCCTATAATTATTGGGGTCTTTTTTGTTTTACTTTTTATGTATGGAACTTAAGTAGCTTATTTTTATCCTTTTTAGCGTAGTTCTTATTTTGTTTTTAGATATATTATCCAACTTGTGTTTGTCCATCTCTTTTTTCTTGAGTTGGGGAAGTATATAGAGTATAGTAATTATAGATATCTTTTTCTTGTAATAACTCTGAGTAATATTTTACCCATTTGTCCATTTATATTGATTCTATCTTTACTCTTTCCTCAATGTTTTCCATGCCTCACTTGCTCTTGAGCTTCCCATTTTGCCAATTAATTAAGTTGACTAAAAATATCGTAATTGTTATGGACAACGTTTCGTCTCATTAATGTCAATTCAGAAGAATGCCCACTACTACTTAGAACAACCTACAAATTCAAAATTTTCCATTTGAAGATTCGTTGTAAAAAGCAGTTATTACAGCTAAAACATATCTCCTTATTTTAATCAGATTTATGGCTCGTGCATAAGATTGTGTGTGTGGGTGCAAGAGAGAGAGGGAGAGAGAGAGAGAGAGGAGAGAGAGGAGAGAGAGAGAGAGAGAGAGAGAGAGAGAGAGAGAGAGAGAGAGAGAGAGAGAGAGAGAGGAAAAGATAAAACTAAATGTCATTCAAAGACACAACTGTGTCCTAGTCTCTATTATTGTGTATACTTCTCCAAGCTGATATTAAAACTACTGTAATCAATATAAAAATAAACTTACTGATGGTACAGATGCAGCAACTGGAATCATTATTAAACTTATACCTCTAAATATATTCAAAAGAAAATTTTGAAGTTTATTAGGTTCATTTATTTTTGATAATCTTTGAAGCTAAAAACAGAGACAAGTAAATATTGAAATATAAGTTATAAGTAAGAATATAGTATCATAAATTAAAGTTATCGTAATAAGTTACCTCAATAATTGCCAAATTTATCATTCCCAAACCAACAGGCAATATCCAAGATGCATCCACTTCTGTTAAATTGGAATAAAACCAAATCCACCAATACTAAGTTCAGCAAATGTTACTTGTGCATTTATATCTTGATGTGGAAGCATGTAAACTAAATTCCTCATTGAAACTGATAATGATATCCACATAGGAATTTGGAACAATACTAATAAGCTAGCTTTTGCAGGATGGCAGTTATCCCTTAAGATCAAATTGTTCCATTGTTTCCTTACCTTAAAAATAATACTGTCTGTATGTCAAAAATAGAATACATGTAACTACGTACAAGTCAGTGAATATAGGATTTCTCCAGTAAAAAGTCCGGTAAGTCGGATTTAGTCAGTAACTTTGGTTCATTAACTTTCTGCTAGTAACTTGCTTGAATTGACATAACTCGTAACATAGGCCTATGACACTGTCTCTTCTATACTATAAACTATAAAAAAAAGGACATGTGTTCTGTATATTAATTTTATATTGATAATAAATTTTATAGTATTTTTAACATAATGAAGAACCTGAGAAAAATATTGCTATATCTACAATCAAACTGACAGCCTCGAAAATAATGAGAAATTTATTGAAATGTCCAATTTTCATTAAGTTTATGTAAATGTCAAACTTTCATGTCAAGTTTATACAAACACAAAGTAAATTTTTACACGCTATAATATAGCCATAAAAATAAAGAATGAATTAATAATGATATTGCATGTTTTTCTCAAAAGTGTTAGTAATATGTTGGAACTATTTACCACTTTCTTGGTTCATTACATTCATTACATATCCCTGCCAACTACTGTTCTATACACATATCTTTTTTACACTTATTTACACTAATGCCACATCTTATTTTTTACAAAACAAAGAAGAGTTGAACTCCCTGCTTTTTTTACTAGTACAGAGTGGACAATGTTAATGACATTTATTCCGTACAGGATGATCCTGTGTAATAATAACAAACATTTCAACCAGTATGGACAAGTAGTTTATTGTAATTGTTTATTAATTATATTGCTTGAAAATATATAAAAAAAAATATCATAATCCAAAATAATAATAGGCAAAAACGATTACCCAGCAAAAGTAGTAATGTTAATGGTGTCTGAGTAGTAATGGTAATATTCTAATTTATAAAATATTAGGGAAAAATTGTCCTTTTATTGTCTAAAATATGGTCTATGTTACTACTGAAAGAAAAAAGAAGTTTCTGTCAATCCGTTCCTATTTATACCTCATCAGTTAAAGAAAAAAATTTTAACTTATAACCTATTCTCAGTAACTCCTAGAAGGATCATGTTTACAGCTTATAGCCAAATAGAAGATAAACTGCCACGTCAGTTACAAAAGTTTTTTTTATGATATAGTCGAACTTCTGATAATGTGTGAACAAAATAGGCAAGACAAAATAAAGAGAGATTGTTCAGAATAGAGATCAGAAATGAATTACTCTTCTGAGATTATAAGTAAAAACATAACAGAATGATCAGAAGGTGTTCCAAGAATAACAGACTGTAAGTCAATTATTAAAAAACGCCTACTTGGAAGTAGGGATGTGTAGTTCACCATCGAAATAGTTCTAATGAATGATTCTTTCAACTGAACTAATTGAACTAGTTCATTAATTTTCATAGAACTAGTTCACTGCGAACGATTTGCATTATAAATTATGTCTCGACTTCTAAATAAGAAAATAATGAATGAATGAATTAGAACATATATTTATTATTTTGTGAATGGATGGATTAACTAGTTTAAAAAAAATGCCGATTAGCCTCAGATAACAGATTCATAATTCTTATGATTGTGACAATAACATTAAGTCTTATCTTAATATCATAATGGTTTGGATCTTATGCCCATGTATTGGCTTGGATGTTGCCATGCTGTGTTGTTTCTTGTATTGTAATTTTGAAATAAAAATTTTAGTTGTGGTTAAAATGATTGAGGCATTTACATAAAATATAATTTTATGTAAAAGTGAGAATGAAAATGTGTTATTTAATGTTCCTAGAAAATTCACTGATTTTTTTTGTAAAGGTTCTTTTAGAAATAACCTAATTATAAATACCTATTAGTATATACGTAAATATAAAAATAAATCATACTTGAACCATATTTATATTTAAAACGGTTAATCAAAAACAAATCTTAATAATTTTTTGCAAATAAAAACTAACTAATCATATAATAATTTAAACCATTTAAACCTAAACATACAATCGAAAGAAATAGTTCCGAACTACTTGTACGGTAGTGAACTAGTGAAAGACTGACTGAAAGAAAGAAATGGTTCCGAACTACTTGTACGGTAGTGAACTAGTGAAAGACTGACTGAAAACCGAAGTAAACGGGCGGCCAGCGCCGAGCTTGTGTGATGATTGAGACGAGACATCTGGCAACCAGTTCTGTTAGGGTTGGATTTCGATGTCGGTCCTACAAATAGTTCTTTCGCGAACTAGTTCACTGAACTAGTTCATTTTTGTGAAATAGTTCTGTTGAACTAGTTCGTCTAAAAGAACTAATAAGCACATCTCTACTTGGAAGTCAACAGAAGAGCATTAGAAGGGAGCTAAATTGTATGGGAATAACACCAACGATGTCCAATTATAACAAAGGATTAGAAAATTCCCATACTGGTTAAAAACAAATGTTGTCCACGTGGCACTGATAAACAACCAATATAATCCAACTAGTTGCCTAGCAGTGGCGGTTAATCAATCTTCCACGTTTGGTTCTTTTTGCGGCATTTTAGGACGAGATGAGTTCAAGTGAAGAGTATTTGTGCGACGATCTGTTAAAAAAAACCAAGAAACGAAAGCAAATTGACCGAACTGCAGATGTAATGAAAAAGTTGAAGTGGCAGTCTCACGAGTTAGGAGATGATTGTAAGCACAGAAGATTGAAGTGTTTTGTAAACACTACTGCTCAAGAGAGGCAAAAGATATTTAACACATTCAATTAACTAGGATTAATAGATGCTCAAAACATTTATTTAGCATTTATTTAGAATAGGGAAAAGATAACAAAAGAAATATCTGTCTGCAGTACTGTGTTTACTGCAATGCATGGTATCACTAGATGTAAGTTGGTCCACATTCAAACCTTACTGAAAACTGTCGGAATTGCTGCTGTCAACAAAAGGGGAAAGCATTCTTCAATCATCAATTAACTTCTGATTTAAATACCCAGATTCAACAATATATTGCTTCATTTTGGGGCAGGTTGAGTCATTACAGCATTCACGGCTCCAAAAAAGTGTATTAACCGAAGAGTTGAATTATGAAAATGTTTCAAATGTTTAAAGGAAAGTATTATGCTGTAGCTGTTTTGTATGACACCTACCGAAATATTTTTAATAGCAAGTTTACCATTTCATTTGGATATCCTAGGGCAGATAGTTGTAGCAAGTGTGATGAGTTTAATGCAAAAATCAAGACTCTTCATTCTGTTGATGATGCAGCACATATAAAAGCTCTATCTATTTAAAATAAATTGGAAAAAATTCGTGCCTGTTTTCTATGATAGAAAACGAGCTGCCTAAATAAACGCTAGAAGAACTTTTGAATATGAATCAATTGTTATGAACTATCAGAAAAACATTTCACTACCCAACATCAGTGCTAACAATGTTTATTATAGAAGACAACTTTCTATGTTTTTGTTCAACATTCACTTACTGTCTTTAGGAAAATCCTGTTTTTTACATATCCTGAATATGTGTCAAGGAAAGGATCCGACGAGGTATCATTGTTTCTGTTCTTCTATATTATCAATGAACTACCAACAGAAGTCTGTTATCTTCACATTTACTGTGACTCAGCTGGCGGATAAAATAAAAATTTTACGGTTTTTGGCTACTTCATTATGTTGCCCACAATATAAAGCTTCTAGATACTATTCAAGTCACTTTCCCTATCAGAGGACATTTGTATCTAGAATGTGATAAAAACATGGGCTTGATAAATTTGAAGACTACGATGGAACTAACTGTATTGGATAAATGTGTTATAAGATGCAAGAAAAATGTAGGAACCGTTCAAAGTTATTATGTGAACCAGAATTAATGAAACAATGGAATACTTTTCTGCAAGAAAAATTTATTTGTAAGTGTCCAATAGTTCTGCAGCAAGTAAAAGAACTTTAAGTGATGAAAGAAAAACGTGGATTGGTTTTTTAATGAACAACTCACTTATAATGGCATTTGAGAAAGTAAGCAAATAACAAGTAGATCAATAAAATCTCTTGTTCCTAGAAAAATAAAAGATGGCGAATTTGAGCTACCAAGTCAAGTATTACCAATTTTCCAAGCTAAGTATAACAATTTATAAATGTTAAAATGATTTTGTCTTCCAAATGCTAAAGAATTTTATGAAAAATTGCTATATAAATGAAAAATCTCTATGTAAACATATGTCAAAAATGGACATTGTTGGATTTTAATAAGTTATTTGAGACATTACCATGTTTTTATTTTTTATCAACTAGAATCTAATAATCTTAAGTTCAAATTCTTTTGTTTCATTATTAACAAAATAGTAATAAACTACTTTAAAATATTGGCATGTAGTTTTATTTATTTCTAAGATTGTAACAAGCGGTTTGATAACATTAATTAACTTTTCTCCGTAAGTTATTTTTGTGACATCATTTGTTTTTCCCTTACCCTTCATTTATTCTATAACGTGCAAAAATGCTAGATTCGATAAATATAGAGGTAAATCAATTTATAAATTTTACAGAAAATTGAAAATAATAAATTAAAAATTAACTGATTAATTTTAAACCTAGGTGGTTAAATTTGTAACAATTTTATTTGTCATGTAAGGAAGTCAAGATGATGATAATTTACAGAGATAGGGGTTTCAATGCCACTGCAATAGAAAGTTTATAATTTAAGTAATTAATAAGATGCTGAATACATGACACTAGAAGCCAATCACATCAAAATAACTGGTTACATGCTTTATAATCTTTATATAGTTAAGATTATAGTGTATAACACAAAGTGTCATTACTTAAATAAAAAAATACAAAAGTACTAGGGCAAAACCCAAAAGATACTTAAAAATTTCAATAATCTATAAACTAGTTAATTTTTCCAGTCTGTATGAGACCATATCCAAAACAATACCAAGTAGTGCTATTACAATTTTGTCATGTTTTGTACATTTTACATTGATTTCCACTCAGAAAATTTTGAAGTATTGAATATATATGTACGACATACCGATCTATTATACACCATTTTGACCTTCTTTTCATCCCAATTATACATTTTTATGGCCACAGCAGTCTCTTTTTGCAGTTCTTTAACAATAGCAGGCATTTCTGATTTCAAATTTTGCAGTTTAGCTAGTACATAATTTTGATAAACAGCTAGCGGTAAAGTAACACAACTTCGAAGTAATACTGTAGCACATATTATCGTTGCCCACCAAGGTAAACCAGAAGTGTCATGAAGAGTTAGCAAAAACTTTTGAATATATTCTACAGGAGTACTTTCTGATAGCCATTTAAATAATCCTGTTTGAGTTTTGGCTAGGGACTCTACTGAAGATTGTAAAGAAAATTGTCTTCTTGAATTATATGGGTTTTTATTTTCGATACAGTATTCTTTTATACAAGAACTTTTAGGTAGAATACCATTACTGCCATATAACCTAAAAGTCTGTTTACCTAATTTATTTATGTGGTTTAAGAGCATTTTGATAATATATACACATCACAGTAGTTAATTAATATTTGAATACAATATTTGCGTCTCTTATTTTATATTTCTCTATTTTAATATTTTCATTTCATGTTTTCTAAATATAAAAACAAATGTTTATCTGTCTATGTCAAGTCTATGTCATGTCTTCTATGTCCTATGTCTATCAGCTGTAAAGTTTTCAAAACAAAAAATTAAGTAATGTATACAACTCCGCAAGACAGAATTTTGATAGGATCATTTTCAAAAAAATAAAATGTGTGTTTGGAAAAGGGTTATGAAACTTGGTGGTGAGAAATATAAATAATCGTGTAGATTGTAGATCAGTGATTTTGGTCTATGACTCATGCATAATAATATTACCAAACAGTGGGACGCGGAATATAAAGACAACATGAAAACATTTTTGAAATATTTTGAATATTCGTTTAAAATAGAAATAAATTTACAAAAGAAAGAAGCTTTTTTTAGTAAACAGTTCCGGTGACTATTTTCATTTTTCTTTGATTATACTAAAGACTATCTATAAAATCTACCATCTTTCTCTCATTAGGTGCTATTGTTCGAGGTATGAAATTCCATAAACAAGGTATCAATCCATAAAACAGGTGAATGAAATTCATGAAATTTAACACCGCGAACAATAGCAGCTCGCTGAGCTGAATGTTAATAATGAGTCTAGTCTAATATAAAGTGGTAGTACTACCAATTTGCATTAAAAAACGCATTTTATAGTGTCTGGTCCATTCTAAAGCAAGATAAAAACAAACAAATCTTCAGACCGAGTACCTATTAAAAATTATAATGAAATGTAAAAATATTTTATATATTTAAAAGAATTTTTTGGTTTAAATGAGTGTCAGTTTATTACATGTGAATAATTATGAATATAATTAATAAATATATTTAACTGATGTCGGAGGAATAGCCAGAATGAATAATACTTCTACAGAAAGTGTTTCACTTGCATTTTCTATATTCCGTAATTATCCCCTCTCACTCCCACTTATCTGTACTTCGCAATCGCCAGATACTTTCTCTTTCTATCTATATTTAATCAAATATAGCGTGTCCTTTATTACTACATTGAATACTATATTTCATCACCTTTTTTCAATAGTACATAATAATATTTTTGGAGATGACATAAGACATAACCTATTTTTAAGGACAGCTGTTTTTAATAGATAAATGTAAATTTGTGTACCGTTCTTTGCAGTGGCTTCAAAATTTAAAGACTTGAAGATTTGAAACATATTACCCGGTCACTCCAATTACAATAAATAGTTTTGCTTTAAGTGACATATCAAACAAAACTTTCTAAACAAATAAACCACCCACATACTTCCAGATTTGGATTATTTTGTAAATAAACTTTTGTGCTTGTACCTACATCTTGGTGTATAAGAAAAAATTTCATTAGTACATTTATATATATTATGTATTTTAACAATGGATCATAAAATTATTATAAATCAGAATATCTTGACAAGTGTTATTTATTTTATATCAAACTAAAATTTATACACTTTGCATTTTGCAAACTTATCTTTCCAAAAAAGGAAAAAAAAAGTTTAACAGTTACCCTATATAGAAACTTACATATAATGGGCTTGAACTTTTCAACACATAAATTTGTAAGCAATGTTACAGGATATGTAACAGGAAGAAAGAGGAAATTATGTGATTCAGAAGATGAAGAAATAAATAAAGTTATCGATATTGCTTTACATACTCCCAAAAGGTAAGTAATTTTAATATCAATTTCAAGTTTAATATTACATACATATATGCTAGTCCAATTTTAGCATGTTTTGTGTTCTTATTAATTGTATGTAAATATTTAGGTCATGGTTATTTTAGTTTCTATATATTTTATTCATACTTATTTATATAGAGAGAACAGGTAGGTATTGCACAAGTAAAGAAAAATCTTTGAACTCAATTGATGTGAGGTTTATGTCACAGCAAAATACAATTGTTTTGGACCAACAGTTCTTAATTATTTATTTCTATAAAAGCTTGATATTCCCATTGATAAGTGTTATTAATAATCCACATGTATATATGATACTAGGAACTAGTATTATATATACAATATCATATATAGGTGAAAAATATATATACCCTTTTTTTATCTGTTTAACTTCATAGTTCATCAAATTCACATAGAGAATACATTGATAAATAGGTTGCCAGTCAAAAAGTGGCAAATATTTTTAATTCAATAAACATGTTCATTGCCAACACTGATGTGAAAGTTATACCCATGCACCAGTTCTCTTTTTTTATTGCAGCTGACAGTTTTTTCATAATACTCTCTGAGTAGTATTTTCTCTTAATTTTTAACAATTTATATTACAGAAAAAAACATGCACCAGGTGCATTGTCAGCACTGGACAATGTTTGTCAAATTGTAGTGCCGCAGAATGTGCCAGGTGCATTATACTTTATACCAGGTATACTTTAAATCTTGAGATGGGTTCTACAGGTGGTGGCCCAAGTAATTTTTCAATGATCACAAGCTGAAAATTGTAGCAATTTAATTTGTTTGAACTATTGCCATTATATAGAAACCATGATTTCAAGAGCATGATGTGACACATATGGATAGCAACTTTGTTATACCAAATAAGAGTTTTATGCTATTCGTTGTTTCAAGTTAAGAAAATAACATTACGCTTATGGAGATCAGCGTTGCCAAAACTCTCAGACACTCTCTTTTGCACGGATGTCCAAGATATTCCCTTTGCTTAATTTTTGAATTTTCATTTTCAATTAACATTTAACTGTAAAGTCAGAATAACTACTAAATAAAAGCCTTATTATCATTATGCAGTCAGAGAACTGAGAGAACGACATAAAATAGCTGACATACGCACATCGTATTATTTTAAGTTGCAATTAGTAATTAGATATACGCATTCCAAGCGGTCAATATTTTCTACTGATTTCTATGATTCATGGCATATCGTATTCTCACCAAAAACAAATAAACTGTCGTTACTATAATTAAAATAAGATAAAATAAAATTATCTTTTGTAAATACTGTTATTTATTAAGATATTTTGTAAATATCTAATTAAAATCATTTTCCCTACTTTTCATCTCTTGTTTCGAATGGGCACTTTTGGTCAATTACCTTAAAAAACATTAATTTAATTCATGTTTGTGGAAACAAAAATACAAATTATACAACCCTAAATTGTGCTTGTGTGTGTCGTAGCAACGCCGCGATGCTATCGTCCATAAGAAATACATGGCCCTATCTCCGCAATGTTATTTTCTAAACGTGGAACGTAGTATAGCAACTGTAGTAAGATAACATTTGATCAGTATGGTCTACCCTCGACATAAAATCATTATTCTTATTTATGAGTTGTTTTTGCTACAGATGACCACTGCTGCCACTTCAGCTTTTTTCAAGTTTTCTGCTAAAACTTCAGGCATATTTCTTTCTGGAATAATCCTTAGTGTGCCTGTAGCATATGTTTGGCTATTTAATAAAGTCTCAGTGAGATTGACACTATTATAGAAGATGTCCATGTAGATCACATGACCTGTACCAAGTTTTTCTTCTAATAAACATAGAACCACATTTTCAGTGGGTTGTGAACCTCCTAACTGTACATCAGTTGAACCCGAGTAGGCAACAAGTTTTAATACCAGCCCATTAGGCTCACATAGTGCGCTAAGTGTACTGCTTTATACCAAATATTGCTGAAATTTTAGGCAGACTCTCCACAGGAATAGGATAATAGTTTAACAAATAGTTGACATTTTAAAAATTCCTCACTTACTAACTATTCCAATGTTTTGGCAATGCTGTAGGGTTTTGATGTCCTAAATCTTGAATGATGTGCAAGCATTTTTATATGAAAAATGCTATATATATATATATATATATATATATATATATATATATATATATATATGTATATTGACGCTTGCATTAAAACTCATAAAACTGACACTTCAAACCTTTTTATTGGTTTGTGGTTTGCAGGTGTCTTTTATTTTATGTCTGATACCTCCTGGTTTTAACAGCTGACAATCCTAATTTTTGACCATTTTTTCTCAGGCAAACTTATGCCATCATATTAAGAAAAAAATAAGCTTTAATTTGATATAAAAAACATGCATATTCGCCATGAGCAGCGTATTTTATTTAAAAAATAAATGAACGCAATAAAATTTTTGTCAAAAATTAATTATTATTAATTGAATTAAAAATATTTGTGGCCACCTTTTGACTGGCAATCTATTATCAATGTAATCATCCAATTTTAAATGTATGTACAAATGTCAGTTTGATTAACTATGTTATGAACATAGTGATCCCGCAGTGGGATCTTAGGCTATTGGATGTTGAAGTTGAAATTCATTAACTGGATTATGAATATGAAAAAACTTATTTAAATTTAGTAGTAGGTAGCAAAAGCCTAAACTTCTTGATAAGAAAGCAAGTATTTAAAAGATCTTTGGGAGAGTTTTTCATCTTAATCCTTTTATAGTTTTTGCTCTCCAAGCTTTCCACTTATTAATATTCAATGTAATAATTAAAAAAAATATATTTAACATTGACTTATTATCTTTTAGAAAGAAGTTAGAGAGCACCGCACAGTATATTTACCAGGCATTGTTTTTAGAAGGACAGAGTTCAGATGTGACACTATGTGCATTAGGAGAAGAATTCCACCTACATAAAGTATACCTTTACCAAAGTCCCTATTTTGCTAGCATGTTTGGAGGATCTTGGTTAGAAACAAATCAAAAATATGTCACTATAGACATTGTAGATCCTTCAATTACAGTGGATTGTAAGTGATTTAAAAGTGTTTTCATTCCCTTGTTACATTAGGGTCGAGTATTATGCTCATTCTCACCTTCACCTTGTTTTGCTAAGCATAGTTGTTTCCATTACATATGTAAGAGCAGGTCATTGTTGGCTTCTTGGTATTTAATATTTGCTTGAAGCATTATTTCCATGGACGACTTATCCCCATTGTCTGTAAGCATTTGTCCTGTGTCATCTTTTATAAATCGCACTATTGACCCTGTTGCCCTTAATTGCTTTTAGCTCCCTGTCAAACTACTGAGACTGACCAGTTCTATATTCCTCCTTAAGTTGTTGTATCCGTC